CAGGCTACAGCCATATAATCCTATAACACAACTTTCTCTGACATAGAGGGAATACAGGCTCCTCACAGTTGAGAGGTGGGCCTTGTCTCTTGACCTGTGAAGCGCTAACTTTCACACAGTTACTGCAAAGTCTTGCAGGTGGTATTGAGATATTTAATGGTTGTGAGCTTTTTCCAGCTTGGGGGTCTGCCCTTCAGGCTGTTGACAACCCAAGGGGCTGTCATATAGACTATGTCTGCAGAACCTGTATCTGGGGGATATTTTTCTTACGTACTGTACTGGGTTTGGCTGGGATGGAGTTCTTTTTCTTCCTAACAGCCTGTGTGGTGCTGTGTTTTAGGTTTGTGACCCAAACAGTGTTGATAACACACCAGTATTTTAGCTCTTGCTGAGCAGTGCTTGTGCAGCATCAAGGCCTTCTCTTTTTCTGGCTGTGCCCCCCACCTCTAGCACGTAGGCTGGGAGGGAGAACAGCCAGGGCAGCTGACGCCAACTGACCCAAGGGATACTCCATACCATATACCATCATGCTCAGCAATAAAATTGGGGTGGGGGGGAGTTTTTCCAAAGTAGTCATTGCGTGGAGACTGTCTGGGCATTGGTCTGCTGGTGGGAGGTGGTGGGTGACTGCCTTTGCATCACTTAGGATTTTGTTGGGTTTTTTTCCCCTTTGCTTATTAAACAACTGTATGCATTTTTTCCTCACTTTCACCCTTCTGATTTTCCCCCATCCTGCTGGGGGAGAGTGAGAAGCGACTGGATAGGGGCTTATTTGCCAGCCGGGATGAACCCACCAGACATAGTATATGTGGATGTGTATATGTGTATATAAAACTGCCTAGTCACCTGAATTTCAGCAAAGTGGTTTCACCATTCCTTTAGCTTTATTGAGATTCTACTTGTTTTGCTGAATTTTCTAGTGACTATCTCAAAACTCACACAGGGGCAATTCGGCTTCTGGAGTCCATCACTGATGCATAGTGATGTCTGGCAGAAGGCTTGCTTCTTTAATCAGTTGGAAGAATCCCTGTCTGTCAGATATCATTAACTTAGATCGTCAATTGTAAATTGCTAAATGTTGGGTCCATATATGCACTGGAAATGGAGACATTAAAATAGTCATATGCATCGTGCTCTTTAGACAGCTTACTGCCTTGAGTATGTAGAACTCTTGTCTACAAACCACAAAAATGAGTATGTTGGTGTATTGCTGCTTCTGTAGTGACAGATGCTAACGTTTTTAGACTACATTATATATCCTGTTTTGCTCTGTGTCAGTTCATCGTTGTCCTCGAATTTGATTTATTCAGAAATGCTCTCGGTAAACTCTGTGGGCTTAGTCTTAGCTCCTCGTATTTGTATGCTTTAGAGAAGAAGTGGCAGATGTTTCATGTTCCCTGTAGGTAGTAATTTATGATTGAACTCTTTGTAGCTTTACTCCTGTGTGTTTCTTTATGCATTTTGAATTTGAATAATAATTAATTCATTTTGGCCCTTCCAGATTTATAGTTTACTCTCTTTGGCTGCAAATCACTTGCAAGGGAGATACCATGAAACGATTAAGCAAGAGGCTATCTACAAATTTCTGACAGCTGTCCCTGACCACAGAGCTGGGTAAATACAGTCATAGTGTAATTTTAGCTCATAAACATTCGTAAGAGATTGTATTTGTTCATACCAGTGATTAAGTTGTACTTATGTACATTGTGCATTGTTTGGAGCACTACCAAGAGTCTGTAGGAAGTATATTAGTGTACTGTTAATTTTTCAAGATTGCAAAGTTCCTTTGCATTATGAACAAAGAGCATGCTCTAGATCTGTCCTTCATCTCACTCGGTGTAAAGTATAGTGGAGACAGGGTCCAATGTCACTTCACTTCAGCTCTGGTAAATTAGTGTACTTCCCTGTTGGATACTCCTCGTTGTGTGGTTGTCTTCAGTTGATGTTAAATTTTTGATGTTTTCACTGAATGCCTGTTTTTAGCTTCATGCCACCAGGAAGAGCTATGCCCTTTTCTTTTTTTCTGTGTATATGAGAGTCAAAATTAAGTATGAACACCAGTTAAGTTCTAGAACTTTTTGCATAGCAAGCACCTGACTCTGAAGCTTGCAGGAATGACTGGGATCAACCCCTGCTTCAGCAGCTTCGAAGATTAAATTTTTGATGTTTTCACTGAATGCCTGTTTTTAGCTTCATGCCACCAGGAAGAGCTATGCCCTTTTCTTTTTTTCTGTGTATATGAGAGTCAAAATTAAGTATGAACACCAGTTAAGTTCTAGAACTTTTTGCATAGCAAGCCCCTGACCCTGAAGCTTGCAGGTGTCCGATGACTGGGATCAACCCCTGCTTCAGCAACTTCGAAGATCTCTGGTGCAGTTTTGTCCCAGAACATGTTGGTTAAGAAATCCTCAACAAACCATCCACTTGCCTCCTTGAGCTTGGGCTGGATGGTGTTGAGAAGACAATTTCCAGTGCCCACAGTCTGTTCTGGTTGGTCAGATTGATTCTTTATGTCCCTGCTCATCCAGATCATGCTGAATTTGAAATGCCCAAGTTTTGTATCATTGGGCTGGTAGCAGTTCATACTGAGGTAGTCTCAGTCTTTGACAGAGTACCTCAAATCAGACAAAACCTCCCGAGGTTCTGTTTCTAGATGAATGTGTATGTCAATCAGATTTTTATTCTCTGGTGCTTCAAGCACAGTCATCTTAGACGTACATCTTGTAGCAGAGAGGTGAAGACTTTGCATGGTAAAAATCTTATCTATGCTGTCTTCTTTGTTCTTGCGTCTTACTACTCGTAGATTCCTGAAGGTGGTGTTCTGGGTATATCTCACGATCTGTGAACCAGGTCTCTCATGGGATCTATCTGCTCCTTGGGGATCATCTTTTGAGTCCCTGTATACTTGCCATGAAGGTGACATTCCTTTAAATAGGTTGGTCTTCTAGTGCTCTTCACAAGGACTCATACTCCTAGATAGTGTGTACTTAATGACCTCGATGTTAGAACAGATCTCTCTCTTTTTTAATAGGTTTAGGTTGTTTAGGAAGTTTCCTAGGTGTTTTCTGGTATAAAGAAATAAACTAACACTATGCTGCAGTTATCCAAATGGATTTAGTGCTGTTGACACCTGATGGTGGCTAGAGGACAGTGTTTGGGTAGTCTTGATAAGCTTTTAAAATAAGACACTGAAATCCTGAAGCTCACTTGAAATACTTTGTGGCAGCTGGATGTCTAGCTACGCAAATGTAATTCTGTAATCCTGGGCTTCCAGGATTTCACAATGTTTGAGTAGTCATGTTCTAAACTCTGCTGATTTTCTCTGCATCAGATGAGGAACTGATTTGTTTGTATGAACAGACATTTTTGTCAAGCTCAAGGATATTTGTATTAACAATAGCTAGTTCTGATGTTTCATAACTTTGAGCATTTCTGGTAATTTGCAGAACACTTGGTTTCAGGAAACAGTCCCCTGGAGTATTAAATGGCTGTTCTTACAAATACAGCTTATCCATTTCCACACACACACACATACCCACCCCCTAGTGAGTTGTTTTTTTTCATTTAGTGATAGTCAGGAGGTACACTGATACCTGTGTTTACTCCATCATAGTTTCTTGAGCTGGATGGCTCCTTCCTGCCATTTGCCTGCATAATTTTCATCACAGGCATTACCAGCTGTCTTCTCAAGTCCCTGTTCTCTCAGTTGCTCCTAATGCGTCATCTGGTACTGGATATCTGTGTCCCACCGCGCAGAGTCAGTGAGTATAACTTGTCATCCTTGCTGTTGTCATCCTTTTGTCATCCTTAGGTAGCGCGCGTAGCCTCAGTCCTTGTTGTCTGCCATCCTGATTAGACTGTTGTCCTGACTCCAGAGCCCTGGCCTATTCAAAGAAGTGCGTATACCTGTCAGGAATTTGCTTTCTTCAGCTCCTGGATTAGGTCCTCTTCTGGTTCAGGGACTTGGAAGTTACTGTCTGGATACCGAATAGCCCCTTCCTTTGATCCTGAGAGAAAATGTCCTTTCCTTGCACCTTTAGTAGAACCAAAGTCTCGGATTACCCAGGGACTCCCAAAACCTTTGCAAACTGGGCACTTTGCCTACAGAACAACAATTCATTACCGCAGGTCATTCACAGACTGTCTCCTCTTGCCAGTTGAAGGGCATTGCCTGTACATAAAATGTTTGGATGTATGTGTGAATTGCTTACTTGAAGACTGGTTGTTGCAGCCTCTGTGTTGAGGGGGAAGGAATCAGGTGGAGGATAACACAATTCTGCGCAACTTCATGGTAGGGGTGATGGCTTTAAACTCTATTAAAATTATTTTAAACTGTTTTTATGAAGGTATGCTCACAGAATTATTTACTTACAGTGTGGAAGTTGCGTAAACTCCTTCATATGTGATTTAGGGCGTCCATCCTCATAAAGGGATGAGTGTACGTAATTACCAGAAATCTTGGAATGCAAGATTCTCAGTGTGCAAACCTGAAATGTTTTCTTACATATTCAGAATAATTTTCAGAGACGTTTGTTGTTTAGTTTTGTTGGTTTTGGGGTTTGTTTTGTTGTTTTTTTTTTTTTTTTTTTTTTGGGGGGGGGGCTTTTTTTTAAACTTTAATAGGAGCTCTTTAAGTCTTTGATGTGAAAAGGGGGCAAGCCTTCATTTCAGGGCCTGCAATAAGACGGAGCAAACTATCTCTTAACTCAGGGTTTTGGCAAAGGATTCACTGTAGCAATTGCAGTAGTCCTTTCTGCAATTCGTATGGTTTGCTTTTTGGTTTAATTCTGTTCATTACATTTGTTCATCTGATTGTTGAAAGGTGTTTAGGTTTTTTTTTTTTTTCCCCTTATATTTTTATATCTTTTGGTAGGGCAAGGAATCAAAATTGATATTTTACATTTGTTTATAAATGTTAAATTCTGAACCTACGGTGGATTATACTACTTCTTCACTCTACCTTCTGAACAGTAGTCTTCTGACAACAAATGCCTTACCGGACTAATTTCCACTGTCTCTAATTATAGACATTCCTGTTTTCTTGATAACATTTTTTGGTTTAAGTGGAACCGGAAGGGTAACAGTTGTGGGCTGAATCCAATTTATATGAATGTTATGTGATAGGAATAGATAGTGATCTTCCTTAACCCCACTTCCAATTTTTTTAGACTTTTGTGACCCAACTTTAAGGTTCAGTTCGAACATTTCGCTACTTAAAACGACATTTCTTTATGAAACTGATTCCCTTTAGGCTCAATTCAACTCATTAGACAGAAGAGCCCTTTATAAAATTGTTATAGATTAAATTGTATCCCATGATGCTTATGAGATACTACTGTCATCAGTAGGTGTGTGCAACTTCAGGTTGCTCCCCAGTGCTTTATCTGGGGAGCTTTTCTATAGCATTTTGTTCTGGATATCTTTTTTTTTTTTTTTTATTGCCACTGTTTTCATCTCAAATCTCATTAATTATATTTACAGTTCCTATTCAACTTTTGATGACATGGAAGTGTTTTTACATGGCCTTGGTCTAGAACATGTAATAGGATTATTGAAGGTAAGTTTGTGATGTATCTGCTATCTGTAAAATAATCCATGAAAGCAAAATGCACCTACAGCATTAAAAAAAGTTCTGTCACTATTAGTATATTAATTCAAATAAATTTATTACATAAATTAAATTTATGAAGCAGAAGTTCATATATAAAGTGTGAAGTTAAACTGCCGTGGACTGGATTGACTTGCTTAATTTTGATTATGTGTATTAGTCACAACATGTGATGTTTCTAAACTAGGGAACTGTTTCATTGGTTCGATAATGGTGTTGTGTAGATGTTTTTGTTTCTGAAAACCAAAGTAAAACATAAGTGAAAAAAATTAAGTGAAAACAGTGTTTTCTTCTGAGATTCTTTTTGATGGTAGAAAACCCTTTGTTTTTTACAGGAAAGAGATATAGCTTTAAGACAACTTCTGATCATGCAAAAAGATGAGTTAATAGAGGTCAGTTTACTACTTCAGAACTTAATTTAGTTTTCTCCTCTTTCTTAAATGTTTATAATGTCTTAACTTCTCTTTATAAAAGTCTAACCTTGTAAGAATTCTTTTTTTTTTTAAGATGTTTTCAGAATCTTCTGCAACTTCGTGAATTTTAATGTGAATGTAGCAGACCTTTTCTAAAGTATGTAATCCCACAGATCAGCCTTGAATTCTGTGAGTTGAATTCTTGCATCTTCTTTGCCTAGATCTGACTATGAAGTGGAAGTTCCCGATATTTCTTTGCTGCAATGATGTGAGAGTTGGGGTGAGCAGGAAATAGTTCCAGTTTAAATTTTAGTTGTTACCATTTTTAGGATTTAAGTGCGTTTTCCCTGAAAGGAAATCAGTGCTGAGATTAGCAGCAGATAATCCTGAACAACTACTTTAAATGTGGTCCTCCTTTGTGAGATGGAAAAACAAGAGCTCTCTTACATTGTGGAATCTCATATCTCACACAGGTTTATAAAACCTTACCAAGAAAAAAATAAAGAGAAGGAGAGAAGATTTGGTTTCTTAAAGTTTACTGCAGCTGGGAAGATTGGTATTTCACTGTTATCCAGGACTAAGTGGTGCATTATTTCAAGGTTTCAGTTTCCAGTTGAGATAGGGTGGTTGCTTTTCCTTAGTCTTTGCTGGAATTATTCCTGTGGGAAATGAAAGACTTCCTGTGCTTACAGGAGGATCCCGTAATAAAATCCAATTATAGGGGTCTCCTTGGAACAATGTAAGTACTTCAAGCTGCAGGATTCTTCTGAGCGCTCTGTACCTGGTCTGGGATACCAAAGACGCCTTGTTAAAGTAGCTGCTTCATGTCTTCTCCCTACTACTGATGCTAGCCATGTCCTCAGTGTCAGCTTTTCCTGCCCCCCATTGTGGTACCAAGGATGCATGTGCTGTAGCAGCTGGAACTGGCATTTGTGTACAGATACTAATACTCCTTCAGAGTTGGTGTCACAAGAATGTTTTTGCATGAAGTTTTCTCTTGTAACTGAGTAGAGTTTAAGTGTTTTGACAGAGCTCAGAGGTAATTCTGTATTCTCAGAGGGTGCACGTATAGCGGAGCTTTGTCAATGAAGAGATTTTTAAGAGTTCACTTAGACCTAAATATTATAAGGCATGTCAGCGTGTTCTGATGTCACTGCTTTTCTGAAGCCTCGGGATCGTGCCCATTGGACAGCATCCCAGTGTGGGCTTTCTATGAATCCTAAAGCCCCTGTTGACAGGAATTTTTGCTCTTTAAAGGAGATTTTTGTGGCTTTCTTCTCATCACTGTGTGAGCTGCTGTATCGGCTGTGATTGCATTAAACTGCAAATCTGACTGGGTATATCTTCATATTGATCGCATGTTTTGATGTTGCAATCGTTACTTGGTTTTGTCCAGGGGATGCTGGAGGAAGAAGGGAGAATTGTGGGCTTACTTCAGTGAATAACTAAGCTTTATGATTCCTTCACCAAAGAGGTTTAATTTCACACAAACTGGTAACTTCTGCTTCAGTGTTCTAACATCTGTGAGGCTCCCTATTACAAAGAGGGCTTTTTTGGACAAACTGAAATAAATACCTGGATCAGCTGCTCTTGCACAGGAAGACAGCATCTATAGGAACAGAATTGTTTGCCTCTTAGCTCTGCAATGGCAGGAAACCATTCCTGGAAAATAAGTTGTGCTTTGTGCATGGACGTAAATTAATTAGTGAGTCTTCAATTGAGAATTTAAAAAATGACATAACACTACTCCTGGCTTATTAGCACTTCATAAGTTATCCTGAATTCTTGATGCAGTCTAGTTTTAGAGCTGTACTGACAGTTTCTCCCCACACTGCTGATAGAGCAAATCTAATCTGTTTCCTCGTAACTCCAGAGTTGAAAGTTTTTAGTGTGATGGCAGATCTTCAACTAACAGCCCGCTATTTTAAAGAGCCTGGATCTTATTACTACAAAGATTAATGATGACCTCTGATGGATGCCTCTGAACCAAGCTGCTTTGTATCCAGAGAACTGGAAAGAAACCCTGTCACTAACGTGATACACTTTCCTCCATCAAACAATATCAGAAAGATATTTTCTCTGTAAATATCTTTATCTGTATTCTACAACAGAGCCTAAACAATGAGTCTTTCAAGCTGAAATCCTTGCATTCCTTAAGCTTATAAACTGTTCCGTACTGAGACAAGTCTGTTCAATATACTGGGACATGTCTATTCAATGTTTGGAGGTTTTTGTCTGATTCTGTGCTACTCCTAACGCTTGGATCTTTTTTGTCTGGCTTTTTTGAGCATTTATCTCACAAGACAGCAATAGAAATAATTTTACTCTGGATGCATTTAGGACTAAGAAGGTTCCTTTCTCACAAGTCTATTAGTTTAGAATAACAGAAATCGGCATCCTGTTCTGGATTTAAGCATGCATGATGAAAAGATGACACATCAAAATTAAAAATATAACCCAGAAATTTAACTTCATCATTAGAGAATTATGTGGTCTGTGTGCTTCCATATCACAGTTCTAGGACTGTCCTTCCTCTGCCCCAACTCCCCACAAAAAAGCATTTAATATCTGGCAGAAAATTGTTCAGGTTATTAAAAATAGTGACCACTTGGGCAGGATGGCAAGGATGTAAGAGTTCATGCATAACTTCACTGGTTTTATCTGCGAAGTATGTCATCTTTCATGTGTTGAGGCAATCTGTTACTCGCCTCTTCTTTTGTTTCCATCTAAAGGATGACTGAAAAGTCATGTTGATGCTGGAGCGTGAGTTTGGGACATGGATTTTCAGGGACTGTTTTTTATTTATGTGTGTGTGCTTATTTATTTAAGAATAAAATAGATGTTGTTAGAGTTGAGGTGCCTAAAATCAAAATCTAGACTGCTCGTAGTCTGTTTTACAGATACAAGCAAGTTCTTGTACAACATTCTTAAACAAAGGGCCACTTCACGATAATATTTGCGTTATTTGGACTGCAGAGTGTAATTAAACCAACACCAACTTAAAAGCTTGCTTATCCATGAGGAAGAAAGGCTTCTTGTACGGTGGTTGTTCCATGCATTCATCATGGCATGAATAGTCAGGTTCTGGGTAACCCTCACGTTCAGCAGAGGTGGTCTAGAAAGGGAAAATATGTCTGCTTTGGGAAGTAGTTTGGACTGGTCTATCTACTTTCTGTCTCTAAATTCTGCACCTAGTACCTCTGAATTCAGAATCACTGTGGTGGTGGAAGGATTTATCTATGATGACCTTTATCACATTCTTTACTTCCTAAACCATATCTTCAAGGTGTGGTGGTGCTCAGTCACTGATCCATTTGCAGAAGGATGAAATTATGTTTTATTTATAGGGAAACAAACTACAACGTCTTCCTGATACGCTGGTCAGAAAGCTGTATCCTGCTTTGCTCATTCCAGGAATGAGAAGATAGAGTCAAAAGCAAGCCCCATTTTTGCAATAGTTCCTGCTTTAAGCAAGGTAGTTTAGATATTCAAGAATAACTGCCGTTCTGTCCTTGGAGGAACTCGTTTGCTTTGTTAATTATAATTAAAAGTAAACTTGCTGTTCTTACATAAATCAACTTAATTCTGCATCATGAAATGACTGCTGTAATGCTTTGTAAGCACTAAGAAAACATTAGTTCACACCAGATAGATGTCCACCAGGCAGACCTGAGAACTAATAAATTGAGCAAACTTACAGCTTGACATAAGTAAAGCAAATTATTTCTAGGAAACCCAGATCTTTCTCTCCTAAGGCTGCTAGCGATATTTACTAAAGAGACTTGAGTACAATTTGTGCAGGTACCCATGGCAACCTATTGGAAACTCAAAAGTTCTTGACACCTGTAGTTAAACTCCCAGTTAATCTTGTTGGGATTTTACATTACTGAAGAATTTACTTGTCTATAGACTTAAGATGTGGTTTTGTTAAAGACACGCTTGTGACCCCACAGGTACACGTTACCTGTGATTTCTGAATGCCTGGTGGGGAACCTGGAGGACTTTTATGGAGGCACGATGAACACTGGGTGTCAGAAACGAAAGTCTCACACAAAGCAAGCGTTTCTCTAGGCACCTTCTCTTCCCTAGAATTGCTACTCAGCACCATCCGAGGAAGTAAGACTGCCTAGCGTTTTGATCTGATGTGTACTGTCGGCTGTTCATTCAAAATTCTTTCTGCAATAATTACAGAAATCTAGGAGACTGCAAACACTAACATCTTGCAGATCTCTGGGGCTGCAGCAGGGCACTTCAGGCCCTCAGAACGTCAGTGAGAGTCCTGTGTGTTCTTGCTTTGGAGTCTGTGGGATCCTTGCAGTCTCAAATTCCAGAATGGTCCACTCCTGCCATGTCCAGGTACTCAGCGGGAGAGTTAGGAACAAAGTCATTCTTGGAGCTGGCATTATGAGGTTTTTCACTTGTGTGGCGAAGCATCCTAACATCAGAAGTCCTGTGTTGCACAGCCGCGTGCCAGATGAGCAAGGGAAGGTATTGAATGTGCCACAGAAGTGCTTCCCTTTTAACAAATGGACTATTTCTCTTCTTTATTTAAGTGTTCTGCAAGAAAACTCTCAACCTAGGATTTAAATATGAGTTAAATTTTAATCTGAAATAGTAGATAGATAACACAGCTGAGACTGTTTTCTGTCCCAGGCATTACTTGGAGAATCTGTTACATAGTGTATATACCTTCTGAAGAAAATGGTGCTTTTCTTTATCTAAAAAAGACAAAAAGCCTTGAAGACTTCAGAACTTTTCTGTTGTTTGCAGCGTTAGCCAAGAGTGTAGATGATGAACTGATTTGAGCTTAGGGACTGTATGTCGAGTAGTATTTAGGCTTGGTCTTAATTTGGGGTAAGAAAACTATTCTGAGTTTATGAGTATGCTGCCCTTCAGGTATATAAAGAGGCTGCTTTTATAGGCTATTTCATGGTAGAAACATCTGGCTGAATGTCTTTTTAACAGATCGTATTCTCTCTACTAGTTTCTGATCATTTGAGTTTTTGGAGGCAGTGTGGAACAACTAGATTTCTTTGTAGATGTAACCTATCTTTAAATGAGATTCTATATGAATGTAAGGTTTTAGAAAGAGATATCGTATCTTATGAGACCAGTTTCTCTAATGGGAAAAACATACACACCCAAAAGCTTGTAAAAGCTCTTCTTAAAATTTGGCATCTTTCTGATAATTTTCCATTTGATGCTGATTTGATAGTTTCCTTTTTTTCTTTCTAAGTTAATGCTATATCACCATCGTGATGATTGGTTATTTTACCGTAAGAGATGACTGAGGTGATTCTGAAATAAATGAGCATAACATCCTAACAACACAGGGGTACTTACAAAAACTGCTATTATTTTTTTTTTTTAATAAACCTTAAACAGATTTTTGTGAGTATCTTGTGCAATTTCAGTTTGGCTCTTCCTCAGCTCTGGTAATTTTCTTTTGCGTCATTGAATAATTTCTGTGGGTTTATTTTTTCCTTTGGCAGTTACATACGTAGGTGGTTGCAGTAACTTAAAAGCAGCTTCTTTTGACTCTTAATAATTAGAAGCTCACACATAAGTGGTACTGTAGTGTTATGTTCTAATAAATATTGAAAGTAAATCATACTTGGAATTACTCTTTAAATTTAGATTGGCATTACAAATCCTCGAGATCAACAGAAACTCCTAGATGCTATTAAGGAGCTACAAGTGGAAGAAATGAGAATTGGAGACCTCCCTGAAGTGATGAAGCTGGAATTGAGGTATTAACTGTGTATCTAAGGAAATGGAACTGAAAGATGAACTATTTAAGGTGACTGCATTGTTTTCTGTAGCTCAAAGGTAAAATTCTGTCACACCTTATCCCATGCATAACACTTGTGAGAATACAGCAGTTAGTGGGTTATGAGGGCTGGTGGTGGGTGCATTTTGTACAAAGAAAGTTGGAAGCATAGATTGCAGGAATCTCTTTATGGGTTACATTGCCATTATATGCCATTCCTTTGGCCATCTTTTTGAGTGATGAGTTTGTTCTTTGTACCTCAGATGGGGTTTTGTGACCTTGCTGTGCAGGGTTTTCGCCACCTTGTGTTCGTATCATGAACTCTGAAACTGGCTTCTTGGTCTCCAGTATTAACTCATTCTTTAATTTCTCTGATAGGCTTCAGTGAGCAGATTTTTTTTGTTTCTCCACGGAAATGGGGTCTTGCCTTTCTTGCTTCCCCAGGCTTCAAGAACGTCCTGGACCTTTACAAACCCCACATGATGTGGTCTCCGTAATGCTCCATTGTGTCTGTAGACAAGGCAGGCTGTGTTAGTCTTGCAACCAAATTTGTCCAATTCTAAGATGCAATTAAAAGATGTGTGGGAGGCAGAGATGCATATAATTTCTGCATAGGGCTTTAATTTTCAACTGATAAATTAATTACATGTACATGTCTGTCTTAAATCATAAATGTGACTTCTGTATAGATTCAAGATTTTTTCCATTTATTTCTCTTCCACTGGGAGCAATTTTAACTGGCTTCTTAAAGACCACTTTTTTTTTAATATGTATTACAAATTAAGAACTTCATAAGCTATTTTCCTTGTCGTAGATTATATGTATCAGTAGAAATAGGTTTATAAGGAAACTGATTTTTAGGAAAGTGTTACTCCTTCAAACTTCCATTCCAACTTGATATTTTTCCTATTATAGGTTCTTTCTTACAACCTTAAGCATCAGCTCTGCAGTACCTCTCACACTTCTAGTGTAGTCTTGTGCAGTCCCATGAAAGCCAGGCCTGAGCTGAGAGGAACATCCCTCAGCAACCTTATTAAACTTCATCAATCCCCTAAGCACTGGTAGAGCAATCTCCACATCCAGCACAAAAAGAGGAATGAAGGCTATAGTAAGTGCAAAGATGCCTTAAGATTTCTTAAAACTCTTACCCTCTTTTTTGTTGTGTAAATACCATTTTTTTCCAGAAGAGAGACCTAGACTTGAATTTAGATTCTGCTCTCCTATCTTTCCTCTTTTTACTTCCCAGAACTATAGAAGAATAGCTGCTGAAAATAGGATTAGTTTGATATTTAAATTTGCAAAAGTTTTAGAAGTGGAGTCGGGCAGAAAACTGTGGCTTGCCTTTCAGAGGCTTTAGTCAGTTGAACTCTGTTTGTTTAACTTAGAGAAGACTGGTTTGGAGATCCTGGTCCTTCCTCGTACCGTAACTGCACCGCTAGTAAGTTAGGTTCTCTGTGCTTGTTTCTCTCTTCCCAGTCCCTCCACCATTTGCATAGCATCGTGTTGCCTTATTTGCAGTGGCCTGGCTAGAGGAGTACTGGGGGAAAAAACCTCCTCCTTGCATCCAGTCTACTCATTAAATAACTTTCTAATGTCTAGAATAAGGGTTCGATTCCTCTTTAAAGTGTGTCTGTCTCCCTCTTGACTAGTGACCTGACAGCTGTGCTGCTACTCTGTTAGATATTTCTTCCCTCTCCGTAATACGGGGGAGAACTGTCTGCGTTATTTGGGTCCTGCAAGGCTAGACTCTTTGTTAGTTATGTTGTTCACTGGACCGAAGAGTGTGCTTGGGTTCAAGTTCATTCTGTACATGTCACCGTGCTTCAGAGGCAACTGAATCGCACTGACACTGTGTATTAGCAGTCATGTCATGATGCGGTCCTGCCGTAGCGTTGTCTTTTGTGCCTTGGTTACATGAGTCTGTCTAGTATGTACTCCGCTCCCGTCTAGTCATTCTTACGTGTTCAAATTGCTCCTGATGCTGGTACTGCACCTGTATTGGTACCCGTTACTGTATACAAAAGAGGCTTTGCAGCCTGTTTGAGGTACGTTTTTGCAGCATGATGCCAGGTTTGAGCTGTAGGATGTGGGAGAACATGCAGGGTCTTTGGGGAAGCTCTTGAAAGACTGAGGTGGGCTGGGAAAGCAGAGTGTTGATGTCCTAGTATGGGACTTCCATGCTGCTTCTAGTCTGTGAGAAGATTTCTCCATCAGAACAAGTGTGTACTTTCAGAAGAGAATCCAGTTGCAAACTAGTACGTGTGCTGTAAAGCTGAAGAACTAAAGTTCCAGCATGCAAGAGGGTGCAACCAGGTATGATACAAATACACCATAAATCCTCTGACAGCACATGAGCCGTTCCTATTAAAATTGAGGCTTTGTTGCTGAGCTGAGGTAGTAGACCAGGCTTCTGGTGTCTAGCTGGCCAAGTTAGGCACCTTTAGAAAAGGATGTTGACTCTTCAGCAAGGGATAATTAGCTGCAGTTTTAAGAAGACTTTGCCCAATTTAATGCATTTTTATGCTAGAAATGTATGCTTTTTTCAGATTGTTCTGTAGTGGTGTTTAGTATATACATTCAAGCACAGCAGCTTAAAAATTTGAATAGAGGGAGTAAGTGGAGAAATACAGAAAGTTAGCAGTTCGCTGCGTGTGTGGCCACATACAATAAAAAACCCACATGATGTCCGGTACAGTCTCACACACCAGTGACATATCTAGTTCCTAGTACAGATCATATGTAGATCTCAAACCCAGAAAATAATTGGTTGATTAAAGATTGAAGTACATAAAATATGACAGCATTTCAGTTATGGCAAGCACTGCATAGTTTTCTAGAAAATGGCGTGACTTGTATTCCAGGAATCTGACCTTGAGACTAAAATCATAGGCTATGTTTACATGCTATTATATAAAGATTTTAATTCCCACTTGTTCAAAGTCATTCTGTGAGAAGGAATATCAGTCATTAAGTCATAGAAAAACTAACATAGTAGAAAATGTTGAACTGATTGATTATAAACTCACAGAGTGTCTAGCACTGTTTAGCCACTGGTGTTTTGACAGCCATTAATTCTTTTTAAAAAAGTGATTATTTTTTTAAAACATTATTTCCATTTGCAAATATAAGAACATGTCACTGCAACAGATAGAAAATTCTATTAAAATATTTTTTAAGAACGGTTGTTGCTATAATACAGAAGTATGAGAAGTATAAATGTTTTTCTTTTTCTTTTTCTTTCCTCCTCATTTAATGCCCATGATGTACTTTATTTTTGCTGAGAATCCTTCCAGAATTCCTAGAAATAATTTCTTTTGTGACAAAACACAGAAGGTGCCATAACTGATCCTAGTCAGCTGAAAAGTTATCTTTCTAAGAAGAAGGAAATTTTCGTGAACATGGCTTGACTGTAGTAATGTGAGAGAAACTTTCAGACTATCTCCACATGTGATTATTTTGTTTAGTGTTTGGGTGTTCGTTTTGTTTGTTTTTTTTTTTTACCCTAAATATTCAGTTCAGTTCTATTGTTCTGAAACAAATAATAATTTATTTTATAAAAACAAGCTAATAGGCTTTCTTGTCTCTACATCTCCATAAAAACCAGGAACAGTCTTGGTTTTTAACCTCCAGCATCCCTACTGATGCTTCTATATATTTCTGTTTTAATAGTTAAAGTCTTAACAGTTCAGCAGTGTTGCACATCACAGATGTCCTGAGCAGTGTGGAAACTTTGCTCACTAATGATCTTGTGCCAAAATTGAAAGAAAACGTTTTATGGGCTAAATTCAGTTTCTCTTTAGATTCTTGCACCGAACTGGCATGTAGCTTAGTTTAGCTGTTTGGTGAATTTTATGTATACCTTTTTGGTGTCAGAAGCAGCCGCAAGTAAGGTGGTGTGAGTATGTTGCCTATAGGTTTAGTAGCAGATTGCCCTAGGGAAAAGAGGAACGTTGGGATCTGAATTAACTTACTCAAATCCTTACGTAAATTCAATGGGAAGTCCTGCAACAGGAACTTAAAATTGTCTCTTGTTTTGACCCTGGTTGTTACTCACCTGAATGGCTTACAACTAATGGACACTTTTCTGCTGAAGATACAGGCACTTCTCAGGAGTTTCAGGGTTTGAGACTCACTCTGTAAAAACCAACGGATGATCTTCTTCCTTGCCCCCTTTTCCTCTGCCTAGTCAAGGGCAACGACTTTCTGGCCAGCACCATGACTTATAAAGGCTTCCAGTAAAATAAATTGAGTCAGTGTCATGTGGAAGTTCTAGAAACTTAGCGTTGAAATTAGTCTGTTAATTTTTTCTGTCCTTTTCTCCGCTCTTTGGAGATACTGATCAAACTACTTTTCAGAGTTGTCTTCCTGCTTGTATTTGAGCAATAAGTCTAAGTTTCTTCAAAGTAGATAACATCACATATTTTAGGCTTTGAGGAATGTATTTCCACATCTGGGGACAAGTCAGTATTACTGGATTCTTTTTTTTTTTTTCTTCTACTGTGCTGGAAACTAAATGACTCTAACCTAGTTATTTAGTCCTAGCTCCAAAGTACAAACCAGATTCCTCCCTCCCCCGCCCCCCCCCTTCAAAAATGTAGGCTGCAGGTCAGGAATATTGATACATCAGCATAAAATTGAATTCTCTATTTCTGTTATTGCAAGACTGTGATCTGCATGTGCACAGGTGCACAGGAAAACAGTGTTGCAGTTATTACGCATAGTGTGTTACAAAATTACTCATGCAGCAGATAATGAAATGTTTTCATTGAAAAGAGTTAGAAACAGAAGTGGAGGATAATAGAATGTTTCCAAAAAGCTTTTTGGTGACACTTTTTCAGCTTTCAGTGTATCTTACTGGCTGAATATTCCAGATAACTTGATGATTTGTTGTCCTTCCAAAAGGAGGGGGGATGGTGGTGGGGAAAACCCCAAAAAACCCCAAAACTTGCTAAGCTGTTAAAGGTAGCATTTAACTACCCTGTGTTAAAATGACCCCAGATTTTCTTTTTTATGCAATGAAACTGCAGGTCTGACTCGCTAGCGAATGTTGGAAATGCATAGATAATATTTAGCTTGCGAAAAGTTACAGCCTTTAACAAATAACGGAATATTGGGTTTTTTTTTGTAGTGGAGATGAATTCCTCAAGTTTCTCCAGAAGTTGAATAAAGAGTGTAATAAGCTGACTCTTCCTGTGCAGACCATGAATAAGCATTTTCTCAAAAATTCTCACAAGGTATTCAACCAAAAAAAAAAAAGATGGATTTAGAGTCTATTGTTCTATTCTAGAATATTATTTGACCTTGTAAAATGAAAAATATGAATACCTATCAACTGTCTTGATTATTATATAGTTATATAGAGCTATCCAATGTTCTTTCTGTAAAGGACACTTTGGTTTTTTTAATAATTTATTTCAAAGAGTTAAGCCACCCAATTGAAGGAGATAGGTCTCTTTCTGTTTCTGCTGACAGGGGAGTTAAGGTGACAAAATGTTCCCACAGAAGCTGATAGAGAGTAGTAGATTATGTTTTGCATAAGTCGTAGAATGAAAACCCCGCATAAATGCAGTTATAAACTTTTTCTGACACTGTCTTTTATGATACATTAGCTAAAGAATATTAAATTGTAATGTACAGTGATTCTGGCAAATAACTGTAACTATTAACAGATAGTACTGCAGTGGGCGCCAACTGAAAGTTTTATTGAAGTCTGCAAAGACTTGGCTTGCAGCGTTGAAAAGCTGGGAGAAGAAGTTACCAAGCTGAAGGACCTGCTGGAGAAGGTGGGTATGTGGTGGAGTGTGCTCTTGGACAACCACTGTGGCACAAATGCCACTCTGAATACTTACACTCTTACTTCTTAATTAAGGAATCTTTTGTTTGGAATTATTGGCTCACAAGGAAGATACTAAGGTTTTATGGATTGAATGGGAGGCATCCCAGATAACTCTGCAGAGTGACAAAAGAAGAGGGTGGGAGAGGTCAAGGCTAGATGTTAGCACCACATCAGTCATTCTCAAACCAACACAATGACACGCTCTTGTCAGATGGGGTCATTTTAAGTAATAGGCTAGTAAAAGGAATGGCCGCTGGGATAGAGTAAATGGAGCATCAGTGTCAGAAAGGAATCTGTTGCTGAACGAAGCCATGTGGAACTCAGATCTTGAGTGTAATGCTACTAATGCCATTTCCTGTAGTTTAAGTAAATTTAATGTAATATAACAGCCTTCTCCCAATAAATCACTTAACACCAAATATATTTAAGAGGTAGATAGAGGTTGTGACAAAGAACTTTTTAGCTATTTGTGTTGCTGTTTTTTGCATATGCAGAAATCAATTGTATGTATGTATTTGTCTCCTGTATGTGCAGGCCAGTTGTGAGGGCTGAGGGGGATCTGAATTAGGTGCCACCTGACTTTGCTCTCGTCTGTACTTAAGGTTTTAGAGCTGTCAAGATGAAGCACAGTGGTTCTGTACCCAGTGTTAAACATTAACCTTCGAATTACTTCAAAAATGTCATTCCTGTTCTATTAAAATACTCTAGTGTTTTATGAATTTTACTGATGGAGACTTTAATACGAAACATTTTTGTGATAATTTATGATGGGATGCTCTTGAATGAGTAGAGCACTGAAACATTTATTATGAAAAGTGCCAATTTAAGTGAAACAGTTAAACCTCTTAGATAATAAGTTTGTATAAATGCCCTTAAAATCTTCAGTACTGTTTGCTAAGCTTTGTCATTGCAAGACTTTGCCAGCAGTACATGTTATGTCTGTAGCATATAATTTTTGAAAGCATGGTACATGAGATGACCTTCCAGGCATTATAAACTAAGATAGGGAATCAGAACCTAACGCTGCTGTGCTTCATGAAAAGGCTCCACTCAGCTTCAACATGTATTCGAGCAGGCACTTGTAAGGTACTTTCCACTCCCCCTTTTATTTCAGGGAAATTTAATCTGTTACATATTTAACTTCCTTTTTTAATTAACAGTTGTTTTAGTAATTAAATGGCAAAAGTTCTGGTTAAAATATTTGATGACTGGAGTTTTAATGTTTTTTATTAGATTTTTGTAGTATCTGTTAGCAGTGTGTTTTACTCCTGAGGAACTAAGTTGGTAAATGGTTTGTTTTTCTAATATATATTACAGATATAATGATTGAACATCAGATAAGATAAAGGTTTGCACATGTTTATTTCAATTGAAGTAGGGCAGAGGCAGACAGAAAGAAATAATATCAATCCTAGATGCATGCAAATTCTTAGGACTGGGTACTTTATCACATACTTAAGAAGCTTTCACGCTAACTTTTTTTTCTTTGTTGTGCTTTTTACATGAACTTAATATCTGCCTCAGCATGAGCAGAAGAATGACCCCAGCCGAGTGAAACTTCCAGACAAAGCACCCACCTTGGAAAAAAGATTAGTAAAAATGGGAGCGGTTACATTGCTTGGATTTGGTTTTTTCTTCTTTATAACTAAGTTAGTGGTAAAGAAAACCTGACTTTAAGTTTAGTTCTGTGAATACCTTTGGAAAACATGGTCGCATTATGCTTCTGTTCAGTGTATGCAGCTGTATGTGAAAATTCGTATAGTTTCACATCATAGCTGTGGTATCTGTATCCAGTAAATACTTTGGTCTCAAAATAAAGTTCTTTTCTTTTTTGGCATAAAGCTGTAATTATAGCTTACTAATTACTAGTTTCATTTTTACCTTTAGCTGTTGTTCAGAGGTGAACATAAGCAAATAATTCTGATTATACCACATGTTTGTATTTAAAATTATGATGCAGTTGTGTTTTGGGCGTTGGGAGGGTTTAAAATATTTTAAATATCTCATGTAATTTTATGTTGATACAGATCTTATCTCTATAATATGAAAAATTTCCTGGTGAGGTGTACTTTTTTTCTTTTGTCACAATCACAGGACTTTGTTACACATTGCCTAAAAAGTCATTTCCCACTGAACTATGATACTCAAATTATGCCTGAAATCAGTTTCCTTAGGGATACTTAACTTCTGTTAAGAGTTTCATCACATTTATTAAAAGGATTATAGCAGTCCTTTGCTATAAGAATGCGAGCAACTTAGAAGGCATAGCAGCATGTTTTTTCTTGGTCTGGTCTTTCACTACAGCAGCTTCATGAGTAGAGTAGCTTTTCCTTAATATTTTCTCCACTTAAAAAAATGTTTGTAATTCTGCAGTGAAACATTAATATCTGTTTTTCATCTGGTTACCAAACCAGCTATGTTGGAAAAAAAGGAATTGGTGTAAGTTAAATCAAATCAGTTATGTTTTTGCAGACTTCAATGAACATCTGTAAAAATGCTGAATATTTCTGAAGAGACGTTCTTCTATCAAAATAAAACAAAAGGTGTCTAAAAAAACATAAACCTCAGTGGGTATGTCATGCTTTAGCTCTGTCTGTTTTCAGACATGTTGTGTGGAGTCTTAATCTTTGACGGTCCCTCCAGAGACTAGTAAGGAGAAGATAAAAGCTTGAGTGCTACTCCAGTTGCTGGCACAGTTCTCTGCATTTTGTTCTAGGAAACTGCATTAGGTGTTCGTGTGCTTCCTTGTTACTGCAGTTGTTTTACCTCCTTTCCTCCCAGGTTCCTACTTTAATGCAAGGAACATCCTACAGAGTGATAAGGCCAGAGGCAAATACAAAGTAAGTTGTTGGGTTTTTTTTTTTTCATGCTGTTCCTAGCTTTGGGTCAGAGGGGATAAGCTGTGTTCCCCACCACTACCATCTACCAGCAGAAGTGGAGAAGGGCACATAGTATTAGCATACTGACTTGAACCAACAAAGTATAGAAAAGGAAGTATTTAAAAATTAGTTCTCTATTTCTTCATATTACCTTATAATTAATCCTAAACTAACAACACACATATCACAAAAGGAAGAATCCATGGATATGGAAAAGTCCATGGAAATACAAAACTCTGTAAAGTGCAGTTTTAACTGCTTGTTGTACACATGGAACCTTATATATACACGGCACTCCTCCTCTGATTAGCTCGAAATACAGGTCAACTGCAGCTGCCCAGGGAAGGGATGGCTCACAAGTATTACTAGAACTTTGACACCTAACATCTTTTGGGTTTTTCTGTTGGGTGAAGGTGTTGGGGGTTTTTTGGTTTTGGGGGTGGAAAGAGGAGTAGGCAGGCATTTTGTTCAGACTATGTTTCCAACATGTACTTTCACTTTAGTTAAGTGGAATTATTTCAACCACTGGTAAAGATTTCTGTGATGCTGCCCTTGAATTCTGTTACTTAGCCTCGCTATTCCTTACTTCTCCACTTCAGTGAGAATTTGCATTAACGAAGCCCCTCCAAAGGATACTGAACGTAGCTTCCGTTTCCAGAGATGCATTTCCTACCACTAGTAGATCTTGCCATTTGAGACAGTAAAAATTTAAATTTTTTTTCCCATGAATTTGAAGAAAAGACCCACTTGTATGGAGGCCTTTCAAGATGACCTTGGAGGTCTTACAGTTGAATAGCAAATCTGCTCCAGAAATGTTTTGTCAGTATTTAACTAAATTATAGGTATAACAATCTGAATGATGCCATTGCTATAAAATACCTATGAGGGGGAAAAAATAATAAATGATAGTTGCTGAAAATTTTTTTTCTAGTTTGAGAGTTACAATAAAATATTCTTTGCAGAAATGAGTCAAAGGTCTGAACAGTTGGAGCTGACCTCCAAAACACATTTGGGAGAAGCTGGTCCTGTTATCTTATGGAACACCTATTTCACATGCTTATAACCACTACTGCAAACACACATGGGAACAGCTTTTGGGTTAAACGTAGGCTTTCTGCCAGCAGCGTCCTTAGCATGAAGAATAGTGCTCAAAATGACATAAACTACACATGAGAAGCAAGGGTCTTGGAGTAACTGTTTTGAGCTGTCTCATTAATTGATTGGTCATGAACTGTGTTGCGTGAGTAGGAGATGTTAAGAGCCAACTAAACAATTATTTTAAGCTGCCATATCATAAAAAAATTGTGTTTTCCTTTTCAGATTCCAGACTCGGGCTTAAACAATCAATTTCAAGGTCCTTTATTTAGTTTTGTGTTGTTCCAGGGCCTCTTTCAAATTCTCTGTTTGAGAAGGTGTCACAATATGGTTGTGATAGGGCAGGAAGCAAAGAAAGAGATTCCTTCGACATCTGGCCCCTGAGCTACGCTGTCAAAATTCTCACCCCCACCAGCACCTGGTAAGGGAGCCTTCAGATGAAAATGTCCCTGCTGAGAGGCTTCCTTCTGTAAGTCATCAAATTAAAGTCATTATCCCAGAACAGTAAGAATACAATGATTTGCACATCTATGAGGGGATTGGAGGAGAATGCTAAAGAGCTTTGCATGCATTGAGCAGGTAAGCCTCACCGCCCTGTGAGGTATTGTTCTCCTCTTACAGTAGTGCAAATTGAGATGCAGGAGGTTTGAGTGGATTGGACCTGGGGCCAAATCCTGCAGATACCTAGTTGCTTAAAGATGCAGGGAGGTTCCTACTTGCAATACCATTGGATACCTAACTGCTCTTGATACGGATGAATATTCATGGAATGGCCTTTTCTGAATCTTTAGACTGTTATGTAAAATTAGGGCCTTGGGTGATCCTGTGGAGATCTGAAAGAACCTAAAGAGCTTTTGTTTCTCATTTGTCCTGTCCAAGATAAACTGCAGGTTGTGTGTGGTGTGTCTCTCTTTGTGTGCTTTTGGATGTGCCCTGCTCTTTATATTTGACTTGTGGAGTACCCGGCCTGTTGTAAGCATTGCCCAAATATTCCTGTTGGGTACCAGTTACAAATGGTAGATGGTAGTTTAGGGTATGTGCATTCTTAAATTGAGAAAGAGTGAGCTTTTTCATTACGTTCTCCATTGACTTAGAGAAGTGTTGTGTTTGGTTTTTCTTCTTTTACTTCATCTAGCTGCCTTGTTGGGGACAAGACTTAAGCTTGAGCTGTGCAGTTTATTCTTTTTCCTCTTGCCATCTTTGAACTCCTTCAGGTGTTCCCCAAAGCCGTAACTTGCTCATAGGTGTGAGCAGGTGTTCACTTGCATTTTCCTTCTGTGTTCCAGCAGTTCTGCGAAAGTTACAGGTGATCTTTCCCAAATAAAGCTGCTGTGTTCCTAGTAAAGCAGTATAAACGTTGCTTTGGACCTTTCTGCACAGATGAAAGTCTTGAAGCTCTAGCAGGTATCATAACTGCAGGTTTCTACTTTTAAAGACTTTTACTGTCATTTCTTTGTTCTGGAGGCATGGGGGAAATGTATATTTGGAAATTTATATTTCTCTATTCTAGAAATAGGAATTTCCAGGTAATGGGGCTCTGTATTTTACAGACCAAAAATTATAAGTGCTGAGGTATGAAATGGGGTGTTACTGGCATTAAATGAATAATGTGATGGGTATCCTTAACAGCTTTAATAGCTGTTAAATTACTTTCAGTTTTTATCCTGATTCAAATGGTGTCATTTCATGTAATACAGAGCCCTAGTCCCTGGAAGTGAGACTTCAGGGATCCCTCTGGGAAGGATTTTCAGCTCTTTTAAGCTGTGCTGCTGACTATGATACATATGGGAAGATGCCTTCTACTTAAGGGTTTAGTGGAGTTTTTTCTTACTAATTATTCTTCTCAGATGAGCCTTCCATACCTTCAGCTTTTCTGAAAATAGTCTTTATTTGAATGTAGATATACAGGTTTAACTACATTATTTTCATTATTGTATTGAAAAACCTCAGCTCAATTTCATAAAGTATGTATTCAAAGAATTGGGCTTTCAGTGTTCCTGACCACTCCGCTGTCATCTGTATTGCACATGGCATGATTTCTTGATGGGATGAGAAACTCTGTGTGCATAATACTTGCTGAAGGCACACATGGCTTTGTAAGTCCAGATTGCTTTTGTGGCAAGGAGGGCCAACAGCCTCCTCAGGGCTGCATCAGGAACAGCACCACATCAGCTTCAGGGCAAAAGTGTGATCCTTCTCCTCCCCTCAGCACTGGGGAGGGCACAGCTGGAGCGCTGGGTCCAGACCTGGGCTCCCCAGTATGACAGGGACATGGACATCCTGGAGTGAGTCCAATGAAGACCCACAAAGATGCTGAAGGGGTTCGGGCCTGTGAGCTACGTGGAGAGGGTGAGAGAGCTGAGATTGTTCAGCCTGGGGAAGAGAAGGCTCTGGGGCATCTTATGCATGTGTATAAATACCTGGGGAAGGAGTGAAGATGGAGCCAGGATCTTCTCAGTGGTCCCCAGGGACAGGCCAAGAGGCAATGGGCACAAACTGAAATGCAGGAAAATCCCTTTATATGTAAGGGGAAAAAAATTCATCCTGGGTCAGACACTGGGGCAGGTTGCCCAGAGACGCTGTAGTGTTTCTGTCCTTGGAGGTACTCCAAACTGGACACATCCCTGAGCAACCTGCTGGCTGACCCTGCTCTGAGCGGGAGGTTGGACTGGAAGAGGTCCCTGTAGTAGGTTGACT